GTGTGTGTGTGTGTGTGTGTGTGTGTGTGTGTGTGTGTGTGTGTGTTTATTGAAGCCCTGCTTCACAATACGGGCACCCTCTATGCCTCACTCGACTAGACAACATGCTACCTGTATCGAGAGCATATCCTTGCCCCGATATATTCTGGTCAATGCAAAGTTTGGAATGTACCGGGACCATCACGAGTTCGAGATGCGTGCAGAAGGTTGCGTTGTGGACCAATGCTCTTCTCTCTCACGCACGCGGTTTCTGGAAGTGTATTCTCTTCATTGGTAACCCCAACTGCCCCACCCCCCTACACTTCCCCATTTATGTGTGTCATCCCTGCGCGAGTGCTATCTTCTCTGTACCGCTTCAATTTTTACAGATGTCACGAAGGGCCCCACCCCGCATCTCCCGGTCGGTATTAGTAGGGTCTTCAGTCAACACAGATGTGAGTGCGAGTGTGAGTGGGGTACGTGTGGTGTGCGGGAGAGTGTTGGCCTTAGACACTGCTGTTACTCGATGGGGGTGGGGGAAGATGAAAAGGGAGGTGCAGCTACTGGTGAATGCTCGGTCCTTGTGTTAGCCAGGCCTCCACTGGTGGCCCCAACCCTGCACCCTATACCACTACGGCAAGGGGCAGACATGCAATTACCTTGCTCCAGTCAGACTCGCTTTCTTCTTCACTCCACATACATGCAAACAGGTGGCAAATCATGCTGGCGCTGTGCGCCCACACAAAGCTCGGAGATACTCAAGTCGAGAACACAGTTTAGTTACAAACTTGCTGCTAACTGGCTATGGCGCCTGGGCGCCCACACATCCTTTGTCCAACTGTGTGTCCACACACTGTTCGCACACACTTGTCTCTGGATCACCCTGGATATCCCACGCACACAACTCTGCACGAAGCACACACACACACTGAACTCTCCTCTCTAAACTGCAGCGGCTATGGCCGCTCTACTGCTACTGGCTATGGACGAACTATCCCTCTCTTCAGCCCACTTCAACCTCGGGCGTCTGCAGACCACCTCGCACAAGACGCCTGGGCAGCGCTTCCGCATGGCTCACACAGGAATGAATGAATTGCTGGACGCTGCCTCTTGATTTATACTTCTGTTGGCCGCTGGTCTGCCCCTTTCCACCCGGCCCTTGGTGCACACAGTCCCACACGGTACTTGCTTGACTGGACTGAGTGTGACTGGGACCGGTACCGCTGACTGCACGGGGTTGCACTGCGGACTCGACGCAGTTGGACTTACAACTTGCCTACAGACCTCTAGCCTAGCAGTTTCGACCTCTACACAGCTGTAACCCCTACTTGACAGATCTACAGATCGAATCCCTACAGCTACGGGGACCTACGACAAAGAACTGTCACTACTAAAACACAGGTCGTGGGCTCAAAACACACAGGGGCCTACTCGATACTGTACACGGGTGCAGGTAAGGTCTAGGGATCGAACCCTGGGATTTGCATCTGCTTCTGCAAAGATGAAAACCGTTTCACCCGCACTGGCCTAAATTCGAGGTCCTCCGAGAATCCTTCAGTCCAAGGCGGGACCTTTACCTTTCCGATCTCTGTCATAGGCTTGGACTATCTCGGGAGCTGTCTCTAGAAGTTCACCTCTGGTGAACCAGCGGTCATCTTCCGGTTCTTGATAAGAGAATCTGACTTTGTACTGTTTCTGTGGACGACCTCTACCTCCTGTTCTGAAGACATCTTCACCTACTATGCCATCAATGTCGTACCTTCCATCCAT